TGGGTCATATACACAATTTAGACATAGAATGAAAAGTGCTTTGTTGATAGGCTTAGTTTTTTTTAAATTTTATTTTTTATTAGAATGTTCATTCTTCAGAATGTTTGGTTTATGCAATTTACTTTATAAAAAGCTTTGCTTTTTGGGGTGTTTTCTCCATGTAATGTATAATGGAACATATAGTAACAGTTTATTGTAATTCCCTTATATTGCATGTATGTAAACACAAGGAACTATCACTTTATATCTGAGGAGATGTTTCAAGCAGCCAAAAATACATGTGAGGAAACAACTGCCTTGATGCAAAATTGTGGTCCTTGAACCTGCACATGAATCCATCTGATTGTGAAGTCAGGCACATTCCTGCATCTACCTGGAGCCTATTAGTTCAGCCATACCATTTCAAGGGGCTCTTGTGCTGATACAGGAGCCTGTCCACGACTCCTTCTATGAATGTAGGCATCCATTCAGTTCTGGTTTTTTCATCAGAAAATTACACCTTGTAATGTAGGTCTTTAGCATAGAAAGTGTAATGGATTAGCTTGGCTGAAGTAACAGGTCCAGGTGGCTTGAAGAGAGAGCTCTTGATGACTTGTAGTTTGTTTAGCTACCTGTGTGAGACACTCATTAGTCAACATCTGGAGATCTACAAGAAACTCTTGAAGTTATACAAGGCATTTTGGATAGGCTTCAGATTCCAAGGTCTGAAGTACTTCAAATATCAAAAGCTTTCAAAGAAACAGTAATTTTGGCAAAAGACTCTCCAACATTTTCAAAGGATCAAAGATTCCCAAATCCAGTGAGAACAAAATTAATCCCATAAATGTCCCCTTTTTCTTCCCTCACAGTCCCAATATTTCTGTTTACCTGAAAATAAGTGTTAAAAAAGTAGCTGGAATTCTAATTTACATATCTTCTTAGAATTTGGGACACCAGTGATGATTGCTTTATTATGCTATAAATGAAATCCATTGACCTTGATAGGAGTCAGCTCTCATAAACTATGAAAAATAATTTTTTCAAGGCTGTGATTTTGCTGTAAATCAGAGCAAAGAATTTCTGAAATCTTGTTTACTTTTTTTTTGCCGGGAATATTGGTTTCCAGATAATTTTGTTTCCAGGCTAGGTTAGGAATACATTCAGAATTTTCTGCCATATGTAATTGATGTGACACTGAGGAATGAAAGAGATGTGCATCCTCAGATACATCAGAAGACTTCTGTTAAAAATTACCTTTTTCTGACCCAGAGATTTACTAGAGGGATAGTTCTTTAAATATACAGATATATGAGATTTAATGTATAGATTCCGATATACAAGGTTGGCTCTTGCCCACAGGACTGCAAGATCTTGTTGCAATTCCTGAACTTTCCTACACCTTACTACTAAGACAGGTCTACCAAATGAGGTATAAAATATATGGTTCAGTGATTTGCCTAAGAGAATGGCAAACCTGCTGAGTACAGTTGTTAGGAAATGGGTGCAATGTGAGCAGTCTTGCACATCTCTCTCCCTCCCTTAGCACCCTCCTTTTTTACATCTCTACATGTAAAAATATTTCAGGTTTTCTCCTTTGTTCTGATATCCACCAGTCTGAGCTGTGGCTCTTGAATGTGGATATGAGGAGTTCTTTATTTTCATAAAGAGTGATACCAGCTTCCTCAGCCCATTAGTAAATCTGCCTGCCTGCCTCCCAGGCAATCGCTAGTGTATGACACTTAAAAGGTGAGAAGTGTAACGTGAAGTCTCAGTGTGGTAAGATTAAAACTTCTGGTGCACTTTTCACAAGAGTACCTTTGAGGACTGCTCTGTTGGAGCAGCTTCTTCTAGCATACAATAATTAGAAAGAGCAGGAGGAACCACTAGCGTGAATATGTAGCATTGAGACTGCTCAGCTTATGGAAAAACATAGCATGTTTCATGCTGTGCAGAAATGATGTACATGTATCCATTGTAGAACAAGCCATGCAGTTCTTCCCAGGCAAGAGCCCTTGCACCCAGCATAAAGAGTACTCCTGATTCCTGCTTGTTTTTTTCATTCAGGGGGACACATTTATTTAATAATGTTAACTATATAACATTATAACATTATAACTCTACTGCACACAAAGCAGTTTTACAATACTGTTATAGGTATGTTATTGCCTTTATTTCATGTGCTGTCTCAACAACAGAAATTGTCTTTGTCCCTAAAGTGCTTGGGAGATAATTGTGGATAAACCTTCAAAATTTTGGATTAGAAGGAGCGAGCTTCCTAAAATAAGCTATGTTTTTTTAGACAAAATCTAGTAGACTGATGGCCCTCCCAGTAAGATAAATGTAGAAAAGTTTTACTTGCAATGTTGAATAGAAGTTAAATACCAGACTCCTAACCTTGCCAAAATACAGAAAATATTGGACAAATACAATTTTCATTCCTGAAGATCTAACAGCACAGAAGTTTTAAGTGCCTGCAGAGTAGAGCAACAACAAATCTATTGTTTTTTATTTTTTTTTTAGGTTTTTAGGTTAAATAGATTTTAGACAAATCTATTGTCTGTTTTTAAGGTTTGCAGTCCTTTATTTGTCCACCTAAAATGTGAGATTGATTGAGTGTGAGAACACTCAGCTAAAGTGTTCTGTGGATTTAATTCTATCTGATCTCCAAATTATTAATTGACCTGTAAGAACTGTCTTGAATGAGACTCACAGCCTTAACAGACTTCATGCTGCAGCCTGACAAAGCCCACGGGTCACAGTTTTTACAGCCTCTTCACACTCCTCTCACAAACTGGTTTTGATATCTTTCAATAACAAGAGGTATGGAATTGCAGTGACAGACCTAATATTGAATCTTCTCCAATTAATATAAATAAAGAACCAAACCAATAAATGCAGCTATATCTCTCAAAATATTTCTGGGTAAAAATATCTGTTCACTGAAGAATGTGATGGAAACTCTCAAAGTTACTTTTCATATTCTCTACTGCCTCTGTTCTACTCCTATCCTATCCCTTGTTTCTTTATCTAGACACGTTTCTATACCTATCATATATTTCAGAAAAAAGTAACGTACATGGGACAATTGCTTATTCATTATAATAGATATAATTTATTTTTTTTTTATGCTCAATATTCAAGCATATTCAGTATTTTTAATTTTATGCTCAGTATTCAAGCATACTAGCTATTCTGTTTGTAGTATGAACCTTCACATATGATAGGTGATTTCTCTGTTTGTTAGCAGATGAATATTTATCATTTATTATTTCTATTTGTACTTATTTGTTTTTTTAAAATAAAGAAGATAACCTACTCAGTGGCTAAAACAGAAACAAAGGTAATGAAATGTAAAGATCTTTTAAAATATTTGAAGGGCATTTTAAAACATGTACATATGTACAATCACTGAAAGATTTAAAAATGTCACTTTTTATTTAACTGAACCATAACAGATGTGCATAGTTTATGGAAAAACACTATGCAAATATTTCAAAGCACAATCACCATCAGTTGAATTTGGCAGAGTAGAACAGATGTGTCCACCTGTTAAGAGATTAGGCTATCAGATTTGGGTATGCAAGATGTGATTGAAGCCCATAGTGGGAGCTATTTAGGAATGCATCCAGGTTAGCAGGAGGTAACTGAGATTCTGATTACTGTAGCATTCCACTTTGCCTAATTCAAGTCATTGATCGCTTTGGGGAAAACAGAATAGTACACCCAGGAGCACTGAAGGGAGAATGAATATCCTACACTGTGTGAAAACAGTGCAGAAATTATACCTGTTTTCCTATAACAGTGAAAGAGAAAGAGAATGGGAAGTTCTACAGGGGCTGCAGAATAGAGTGGACTCCAAAAATAGTTATTTATTCTGTTGAAATTTAACATCCTGAAAAGCAAGCATAATTATTGATTCAACTACTATAGCAATGTTAGTAAGTAATTTTTTTGAGTTGCTTCAATAAGCTGTGAGAATAATCATCTGAAAGCATACCCAATGCACAGAATATCACATTCATTCTAATGTGAATTTTGTTCAGCCAGGACTGGAAATTAATTCTGCTCCCTTGTATTTCTTAATAGAGAACAGAAGCATATGGTAAAAGAGATAGAAATCAAAGTCAGATTTTAGGCAGCAAAATGCAAGCAGAACACAACAGGTATTGTGGTGGATTTGTATTTTCCTGAGGAAAAAATATTTTCACAGTTGTTGCTGAAAAATCTTACCACTTCTGTTTTGCCAGCTCCTGAGTACTCCTGATTACTTCATACGTTTTGTGCTGTCTTACTCTGTAGTTCTATTATTCTGCAGAAAAACTATAATTTATACAACTTCAGGGGTTTCAAATGAAGTTCTAATTTGGTGTCATTGTTGATGATGAAGTGTGAAGCAGAAAAACACTGGTAGATTTTCAAATGCTGGCTTAGTTATATAAATGCTAATAATGAAAACTCTGATTTTGATTTTCTATGCTGATATTAATTTTGTGTAGATAAGAGTGAGGAAGAATACAAGTGACAGTAAATTATAATTAATTCCATTGTTCTTACTATTTAAATATTTCCTTATTAAAATTTCTGTCTATGGTTTGTGTTACTCATCTACAAAAGTACAAACTAACTGACATGAAATTTGAATGCTTAAAGGTATCAAATGCTTAATTTTATATATGACAAGAAAAGTCCTAAGAAATGCTGTGTGAATATGGCAGATCTGTCATTGAAGGATCAGAAATACAACTAAATTTCTGGGGTCTCATAGTTATGGCAATTGTTCCATTCAAATCCACTTTATTTGTAACTTTGGGACTAGAAAAGCACATGAAGAGGTCAGACCAGGATGTGGAAGTACACAAAATATAATGAAGGTATATGAGAGAAATCCTCATGTTCCTTTAACCAGAGCTAGAAAACACGAGGTGTTTTCTGTATAGATCTTGTCAATGGAATTTCTGGTTATTTTTCAACTTATTATTTAACATGAGATTATATTTTTGTATTTTATTCTGACAGCTGATGAAATGTTATCAGAGGACAGTCTTTAACTTTTACAATTCTGTCAGCATCAAAGTGGATCCATCAGTTGGAGTTGGACAGCTTGAGCTTTATGGCAAATTGAGGTCAGGAAAAAATTCTATAGCTCTTGCATTAAAATGGTTGATTTTAGTTTGCTCTATTGTGACCAGTTTTAAAGCATGTTTTATAGTGTGCTCAGATAAACCTCATACCTTCTAAGGGGATATATGCATAAATGAGCAATTATCAGCCCCATTTTCTGAAGCCTGTAATAGTCAAGAGTAATCTGATAAAAAACATTTCTCAACATTTTCTATAATTATTGCATGGTTTTGAATCTCAAGTCTTACTTTAAACAGTAATCCATTTGCTTGGGGAGGTAAAGTAAGGCAATATACAAATAATATTGTGAGTGTATTTCCTAGCCTTTGTAAACATTTAAATTTATATTTATTAATTTATTATGCAGATTGCTACTTTGATGGACATGACAATCTGAAATTGTGAAGAAATATATTTTCTAATTAGAAAACACTTTCCAAGTTAGAAGTTTTATTTCATATGAGAATTATTCTTTATCTTACCAATGCTAAATCTTTTATAGTAAATGATTTTAAGAATGTTATTAAGGTTCCATATTGGTTTTCTTCAGAAAAAAAATGAAAACTTTTTACAAGTTCTTTGTTCTCTCCTCAGAGGAATCTTTCAGTTGTGATGACTTGGACCAAATGGTTCAGTGCATTTTCCAGCTAGCATTCAGGTAAGAGAAGCATGAGACTAATAAATTCATTTCCATGCTAATCAGGATGAAAAAACCCAGCATAAAAATAAATGAATTAAAATTGATAAATTTTAGGGTGTCAGAACACAATATAAATGAGTGGATAATATAAAGAACTACAAAACAAACAAAAAATATTATTTTTCCTCTGTCCATAGGTTTTTGGCTATGGTCATTTCGATCAGAATATTTGAAAGGCTTTTGAGTCAGAACAATAAGCGCACTTCAGGGCTGTGGGCCCCAAATTATGCCTGCTGCTGTTGACAAGGATGTAAACAAGCTGCTTTTAGTAATGTTTTTTCTATTGTTGGAATGAATAAAGCTGTGGTTGCAAACACAGCTGAAAGATAGGATGGGTTTTAAATACTTTTGTTCCTGCTGAGCCATTACCAACACCTGCAGTTAAAATAATTATTTCAAATGTTTTTCTTTATAAAATAAGGGGTAGTTAGCAGTAGACCTGTCTTGTTATGGTAAATTAACATCTGCACTTAATATGATTCCCCTTGGTTGTAAATATCGTGAATTAAAGCTCGTTATCTCCTTTGGAAAGTATGTTTTATGATTTCACCTGTTTGTACAGAGATAATTAAACATTTTACAGAAATACAGGTTGGATGACTATAATCTTATTTTAGCCATCACAGAAATTATGGAATATTTTTACAGCAAATATTGTGAGTATTTAATTAAACCCTATCTTGAAGTAAAGCAAGCATAACTACTGAAGATAGCAAAAATGGATTAGAGATTCTGAGATTGAAGAGCTGAATATAAGAATTAGCTATCTTGTTATTATATTTTTTAAAGAAAATGTTTTCTTAATCATAGAAACCAAAAATTAAACCACTTTATATTCTAGGGCGAAATAAGAAAACCAGGAACAGAAGTGGAATAAACAGGAAAATTCTTTGCCTTATTTTAAAAAAGGGCTTGTACTGTGATTAAAATGGAGCTACTTGGTTTATATCATCATCAAAATAGCTAAAAGTTATGCATAGTTTTTCTACATGCAAATCCTCTAAAAATATTAGGAGTTGAAGAATTTATTTTAGAATGTTACAGCTTCAAGCTATTTTTATGTCTTGTCTTTGACCATGCATTTCAACTCGATCAGATCAGAACTTAGCAAGCAAGCTCTCAGTTCAGTGGTACTTTCCACCTGCTGTCAGAATTCAAATCTATCAGAGTAAGCTCTCAAAATAAACTGTTAGTTTATGTATCAGAATAAGCTTTGTCAACTTAACATCTGGTGCAAAATTATTTAAAACCTTTGGTGACCTAGGGCTAGAGTGATTTACATCAGATAAGGAAGCTAATCTGTGTAGTAAATTGTCTCCTAGGTTTTATTCCCACTTTGCAGATTTCATTACACAAACACATCAGTATTAAGAGCTTAAGATAACAGCAGAATTGCAGAATGGTTTGGTTTGGAAGGAGCCTTAAACATCATCTAGTTCCAGCCCCACAGCCATGGGCAGGGACACTTTTCACTAGACCAGGTTTTTCAAAGCCTTATCCAGCCTGGCCTTGAACATTGTGTCCCACTGTATCCCATTCCCATTTCCTGAGTGTGTAATGCCATGTCTTTGTGACTGCATGGATATTTTTTGGTCAGGGTGTGAACAATATAATTGAGCTGATGTTAAAACATTTTTAAATTTATTGATTGCAGATACTCCAGTGTTTAAGAGACCTCCACAGAGGAAAAAGCAAGCACTTAAAAAATGTGTGTACTTGTACAGAATGATATTTTCCTTTAAAGAGATGCCTAAAACTTATCACTCTTTGAAGGAAAAAGATGCAGGAATTCCTTTAGTTAAATTAATATCTGTGTGTTTTTCTCCTCTGTGAACGTGATTTAAAAAATTCTCCAGACGAGTATAGATAATATTAGAAGAAACGAAACAGAGGAGCTCCTTTAAAATTAATGCTGTCTGCCTATTTTATTTTTTTTACAGTGGTGTTTCTGGTAATAGGGGATTTGGAAGGGATATTTGAGCAAGTTTCTTTTTAAAGCATGGAGCATTTCACTGATCTCCTTAGTACCATTCATTTTCTGAGCACTGCATTCTGGACTGCCATCCTCTCTCATTTAATTCTTCTTCCTAGCCTTACATACATTTAACTAGATTGTTCAAGCTAGTCTTACCTTTGCAGGAGTTTTTACTTTTCTGAAAGATCAGAGTAGTACAGCACACTTGCTCCCAGAGAGTGCTTGTGAGTGATGCTACACAAATCCCTGCCTCTGAGATTGAGGGCATCACCCCTATTATAAACCAGCTATTGTAGGGGACCAAGGTTAGCTTCTATCACCTGTGGCTGGGTCTCCCACATCACAGTGTGAATGCAGCATTGTCGAGACTTTGAGCAGATCTCTGCTTTTCATGTTTAATTTTGCTCTTTTTTCCCCCCTCTCAGTGAATTGTGATCTGCAGTCCTTTGAATGCTAAGTGCCCCAGAGCTGCCACTACAGGCACCCAAGCTCTGCCAGTGTCAGCTACAAGAAAGGTCAATATTTTCTTTTAAAGGAAAAAGCACAGTGATGATCATAATTAGGTTGACTGTATTTCAGGTTTAAAGAAAAACAATTCTTAAACCTCAGCTCTTATTTATGGGCTGAGGCTAGCATTGTTTTACTCTGCTCATAAAAATTGACTGAAGGAGTTTATTAAAAGGAGGTGTTTAAAAGTTCAAGCCACTAGGATTTATGTCCCCTCTACTCTGAAATAAAGTATTTCTTTTTGATTTCAAGAATTGTTTCAGTCAATTGCAAGTCTTGGAATATAATGATTTTTGAAGGGCATTTCTGATGGCTTATATCAAAATTGGCAGGCATCAAACACTTTCTCCAGCTTGTGTAATAGAACTGCACTCTCTTTAATTCACCTATGATTTAACTGATGTGTGAAAGTACTTTAACACCTATTGCCCCCTATAAACAATTACTAAAAAAACCCCAATCTCAAAGCAAAATGAAAAGAAGAGGAACATGTTGTATTAAAATGTATACTCTGTTACTTGTGATTCTCTTGGAAAGACTTTTTGTTTGTTGGTTTATTTAAATTCATTTCCAGAATAAATACACATACCAAAATTACAGTATTTTTAAGAACCCACAGAATCTGTCATGAATAATCAATATTTTTCATCAGCTGACTATTCCTGGCTTACTTTAAGGTAATAACAGATCAGTATAGTTTTGTTGACTTCATAATGAAAAAAACCCTATGCATTTCATATTTATCTTAACACAACTGAGCACAGCATCTTGGAACTAGGCCCCAAAATTTCAGAATAAGGGCAAAATTGGATGGAAACAAAATGAATAATCTGTGGGGATGTCTGTGCCTTCTTTACTGATATTTATTAAAATGAAACAGTCTTGTTTAATTTGAATTTGAACTTGGTAGTGATCATCCGGACACATCAGTTGAAGGGCATGAGAGAATAAATTGCTTTCAAGACTGAGCAAAAACCAAGGGTTCTGATGATACTGAGTGATTTGAAAATGTTACCAATTTTTCTTAGAGATGACAAGATTTTTTTTTAACCATGCTATCAAGGAAGTGTTCACTGTGAAGGATTCACCTTGAACTTTTTGTGCTGTTACAGTGACATATGTTTAACATCAAGTTGTTTTCCTGGTCCATGAACACAACAAAATTTCTTTCTAAAAAATTTTTCTTTTTAAAGCCTTGGAAAACAGGCAGAGAGATGTGATTTTACATAATGCAAATGCATCTTTTTCCCCAGCAAACTCAACTTTTATAGTGTTGTTTTAATGAGATATTATTAGTTGTTTCTGTACCATTTAATTATAATTGGCATGGTTCTTAAATCAAATAAAGGTTTTGGAATAGCAATAGTATTTACTTTCTATTTTTCTAAAATAAACAATCTTAAATCATGGCTTTGGATAAAGTATTGGGATGATTTAATATTGCATATGTAAGGACTATTTTTATGATGAGGGGCTGCATGAATTTTTTTTCCTGAAGATATAGCTTTGTTATGAATACATATGAATATGTATGTATCTAAGGATGACTGAGACCAGTTGAATCAGAGGCTAAATTCTAAAATCCAAGCTTTGAAATAAGAATGTAGAGTGTATTAACTTGAGTATAATATTAATTGTATTTTTACAATGTGAATCAAGCTTATGAATATATGTGATAGAATTTTACTGATGTCCTAAAACCAGGCAACTCTGCTGAACATGTCCAGACTGTCTCAAAAAAGGTGAGGGTGGTTATGCATCATTCTGTCATTGACTGCTAAAAGAAGACTTGTTGTTCCTCTTGAGTCCTGCCTTGACTAGCTAAAATGAATTATTATTTTTGGCACTTTATTGAAAAGTCTGCAGCTAAGTCTTTTTGTTATCAGGAAATCATTTCCATTTCCATTGTTTTTGCCTTGCCAGAATGGCAATTTTCCCTTTACCATCCAGAATGGATGCCACCCTGGTTTATAGTCCCAACCTTCACCACTACTTTATTAGTAGAGATTCTTACAGGCCCATGTTGATGCCATCATTTGCTGTTAGCAAGCCTGTTCCTGCAGAGACCTCTGGAAAAAGGCTCAGTATGGCAATACGTGGCTGCCATTCGTGCGTTAGCATCTGCCTTGAACTCTCCGATCTGCAGTCTTTTGGCTCATCCTGCGCACATTCATGTAAACTTTGTAAATGTCAAGAACAGCATGTAGGAAAAGTTTTGTACCCTGTTTTGTAATGCCTTTTTCTGGTTGCAAATATTGAAGTAAAGACAGGAAACACTATGAATTTTAATTTCCTTCTGGTTCTAGTTCTTTTCTGTTCAGACATATGGAGGAGGTTATTGAAATTCTGATTCTGCAAGTTTCTCTTGTCATCACTTGAAAAAATTTTTAGTAATAGAAAAGCCGTGTTACTTGCAGGACATTCTACCCACAACTTTAATAAGCAAGCCTCAACTGATTGCATGCACCTCCCAAATATTCTTGCAAACTTACTTCATAAATTTTTAGAGCAGAGAGATTATACTAGTTCCCAGGAGATGGTAAAGCATATTCCGATTTTTTTTTTTTTCTGGCTTATTCTGAGGCTTTTCCACATTGTATATACTGTCTGTACCAGAACAGAGGGTTTAACCTGTCTAAATTTAAGCTGAAAGTCAAAATTCCAGATTCCTTCCTTATTGTCTACAGAGCAGAATATCTGCTGTTACTTCAGGGAAGCAGAAATAGCTAAAACTCTTTTCTGCCTTTTAGCCTCAAGACTGCAGGAAATATGTAGGGATGTGGTGCAGGTAGGAGCCCATGTTGTGAGAAACAGTTGCCTGTGTTTTAAGAACCCAAATAAAAGTTAGATTTTCCATGGAGAAGAAAAATTAGCCAAGGGCCAGTCAGGTGTTCTGCCTTCTATTTAGCATTTGCCAGTAAGTAAAAGACCTTTGAACAATCTATCAGATAATTTTTTTTTAAGTCATGGGCAATATCCCCTTATACAGTGAATATATTGGTTCCAAATAGTTTAGGAAGATCAAGTCTTAACTCTCAGTTATGAGAGCTGATGAAGGAGCTTGGACTGTGGTGAGGGCCTAGTTTATAACTGAAAAGATTTGTATTACTTGGGGCTTTATTGACATTCACATACACAGGATACACAAAATGCTCTTACACTTTGTAACAAATTACAATTTTGTTACAAACCCACTTCCTGCAGAAAAAATATTAGAAGGGTCACTGTAGTCCAACAAAATAATTTATTTTATCCTTTTGCTGAGGAGGTGTGATGATTCTCTACCATGGTGTTCAGTTTCTTTCAGCTTAGTTTTTTAAACTTGTGCTTACCAACTGGACCTTCATATTTAATTAATACCAGTGTACTCTTTAAAAGGTATATTTAAATTTGGAATAATTTTAATGAGATTTTAGCAGCTTCAGAACTGTTTAGTTAAAATGTTGATATGGTCCTTAAATTAAATAAGGGGTTTCAAACACAGAAATATTTACTTTCTATGCTACTTTTAATAACCTCATGTCACAGATTTAGATTAATTGCTAGAATGCCTTGAACATTATATATATAAAATATTCTTTTAATGAAGAATAGCTGTGTGTAATTTTTTCTGTTAAGACAAGCTTTATTATGAATACATATGTGAGAGTGTGTTTATGTATGACAGAACCCAGATCCCTTCTATCAGAGTATTAAGTCACTGAGCAGCACAGGCATCAGCATACTTGTGGCTGTCAGACTTGTTTTGTCTGGTTTTTTCTCTTGGAGTTTAGGTTTAGCTTACTTAGCTGTAGCAATAACTGCTTAATGACCGGGTGCCTCTTATTTAGAATAAGTTAAATAGAACTAGTTTCAGTTCTATTTAACTTTGTACAACTGTGTGCAGTAATTATCATTTATGGCTTTGGTGCTAGCAGACATAACGAGTAGCTGTGCTCTGTAAGAGTGAGTTATTTCTGCAGTGTGATGCTGATGCAGTATGAGGGACTTAGTGTAAAGGTTAGGTTGACAGCAGAGACCTTGTAGGTGTGAACACAGGCTGATAAGCAGAGGCTCCATGAATATCCACCAGTGGACATTAGTAAAGGAAATACAAACTTAGAAGCTGAACTAAGGTAATTTTTGGGTAACAGAAAGTGTGAATATAATAGTCTAACATATACAATGCACCTTATTAAGGAAAACTGTTTGCAACATGAAATTATGGACCAGTAAAGAAGATCAAGGTCTAAAGTGAATTAAAACCCCTTATAAGAGTGTGCCCAAGAGGACCCAGGAGTGCAGAGAAAGGGAAAACTGTCAATAGCAACATCCTGTGCCTCTGTCAATAGCACCACACCTGCTGAAGACACCAGGGTTCTGCCATATTTCCAAACATCTTGCCTCTTCACCGAATCTGTTGACCTTAAGACCAAGAAGCAGTGGAGGAGTGGAGATAACACCAAAAAAAGAGGTGTATAATGGGAGATCTTGCTGGGTAACAGCTTTTACCTGTAGTACCATTAAGCAACACATTTTTTATTTCAAGTGTGTTCCTACCTCTGTAGCTGAACTAATAGCAGTAGTTGTTTGTTGCATTTTGTTTGTGCTTAAAATTTTTTTAAACTACACCAAAGGTAAATTTTTTGCTTGACATTTTATCTGTAACAAGTTCTTGAGTGTAATGAGATTTAAGAAAGTTGAATTGTTTTGCATCTACATTAGAGACACATGCTAATGCAAAGTACTTTTACCATAGATTTGGCCTCAACAAAACAAATCATTCAATCCTTTTGCTGAAGAGGCATGATAACTGTGTACTGGCACCATCCTTTTAAGATCCTTTCCCCTTAGTTTCCTCACTTTTACTTAGAAACTTGATTTTTAAAATTAATGCATCTTTTATAAGTGTGCTTAAATTCTTTGGCTTTTGGAGTAAATGATGTGATGAGCAAATGTAGAGAACTCTTTCTAGATTGATTTTTCTTCAGGAGTTTTCTCTGTTATGCTGCCAATTTTTACAACTAAGAGCAGATTATCTCTTCCTGTTACAACAGCAATCACTCTCTTATTTATGTCCTGCTTCTTCCAAAGAGCAATTAATAAAGCTAAAATAAAACCTGCATAAGTCAATCCCAAGGTCTCTAACATGGGTAAACAACTTGCAAAAATGTAGTTTGCTTATATCTGAGTAACTATGTGATGAAGTACAAAATGTGGAGGTTGGGGGTATAGTTATCAAACAGTCAAGATCTTAAATTTATTACATGTTATTATTTTGAAGGCAGGAAATAGAAGTTATTTATGATACAGAGGGATGTGGAGTCCCCAAGTTTCATAAACATTTGAGAGTATTATGAAAAGAAGCCTGTTGAGTGTTGGGTGTGGAGATCACCTGCATTATATATTTGCAGAAATCTGTGGCTTATCCCACATAAAAATCTCTGTATGATGGCTGAAGTCAATACATATATTCATATTAATTGCTCTAGCACTAAGCATAGGTGCAAAAAACACATTTCTATAAAATTATGTATGTGATAGATAGACATCTGCATAGGAAATGGACAAGTATCTTGGAAAATTAATATATATATTTAATTTGTAATAAATAAAATAGCTCAGTTTTGATAGTAGTTTTATTTATTAATTGACATGAATGTTTAGACAATATTGAACACTGAAATAAGGAATTTTTTTTTATTTGAAACCAAGGTAGAAAAGTATTTTTAAATAAAGAATCAAGGTTTACATTTAGGAAAAATCCTTTTGTTTTTTCTCCTGACAAATAGAAAATCTTCTGCTGCTAGTTATGTTACTGGTGAAACCTATTTACCATTCAAATACTATTACTGACTTCTAGCTTGAATTGATCCGATCTTGTCTTTCTGAGATGAAACATTTTTGTGTCTATTTATGACACTAAGAGACTTTTTGCATGATAAGAGAACAAACTGTCTTTTGCTGTAAAGTTCATGAAGTCCTGGCATACACTTTTCAATTTCCTCTGAATATTTCCCTACTTTTCAGTATTTTTAAAATAATGACAGGATACAATATTCTAATATCTATCTCACCTGCTTCATATAAGGGAGCAAAGTCTCATCTATTTGGCTACTGACTAGTTTCTTATTCATTTACAGGTGACTTGTGTTAAGGTCTTGGTTGCGAAGTTACACTTTAAGGTCAGACTTAAATCCATTATTCATCACCAACTCCAGATCCTGGAATTACTTCATCAAGATAGAGTTCCTCCATTCCTACCTGTAAAGGTATAACTCCAGTACTGGTTAACGAAGCTCTTGACCTTGACATGGCCTTTAGTGTAGAATTACATCTATCATGAATCTGAATAGTTTTTTTTTATTTCAACCTTCAATTTTCACACACTCCATTTATGAAATATTTTTTTGTGTCTTTAGGTATATTAATTAATGTCTTATTCCAGTATTGAATTAGTGCATATTTGGCTATTAGGAAATATCAGGGCAGGGGAAATGTTCTTTGTGACCTTGAGTAGCTCATAATTTATTGTTCTTCAATACTTTATAATGTTTCGTGGTATAGTTTAGGAGTAGGTCACACTCAAAATCTCATTTCGCACATATGACTGGACCAGCATAATTTTATCATTTCACATTTTAAACCTCTCATATGTTGGTTCATCTTCTCTCACTCTCTGTATCCTGGTCTCCCAAAAATGTGCAGCTAGGCTAAATTTTTTCACATTATGAGTCATTCCTATAATATGCTTGCACTCTGCTGACTTTACATGGAGGCAGATTTGGCTAAACTGAGGATGCATAGATGAGAATTTTCTTAAGCATTCCAATATCTTCACTTTATTAATCTATTCTGCTCATGGTGGGTTTATAAATGGAGGTCAATATCCCATGAACTTAAGAGCTTTCATTAATTTTACTTTTCTTGTACAGGAACAATGTAATAACACTGCAGAGCTGAGGGACTGGGATTATAGACCTGAACCCATTACCTTTGCAATTAAGCTTCTTGAATTACTTAGTTTTAATTTCTGATAAAATTTAAAAGATTGTGACAGACTAAAGCATGAGGACTGGCCTATCATTGCAATTTGCAAAGAGCTCTCTAAAATGCATGTTTAAAAAATAAAAATAATATCTACATACTACAATATTATTGCATCAATACTTTCAAATGACATGTCAGTTATTCATGGGCACCCACAAGAGAGGTAGAAGAATGTTGTATAAAAACATCACAATGGAAGCTCTTTAAACTGTATAGAGGCCATATTTTGCAGCTATATTTTCAGTGTGGGTAATATCCATGAATGAATATTTGTTGCCTAGTGATCTGGGTATAAATAATGAAGAGCCATGACCAAGATGTACTCCAGCTTGGGGTCCTGCCCCTGAGGTGAGCTTGCTAATACTCATAGTGCAGTGTCTGAATCATACTTTTCTGTCTTGTCCAGTGAATAATTAAGCAATTACATCAAACTACTTTCTGTGGGGAATATCTCAGTAAAATCCCCTTGTCAGAATGACTTTCTCTAATTTAGACAGAGAAGTGATTTTAATTCAGGTCTCAAACATAACATATATGATTTAGAGTACATCCTAAACTAAGAAAAGTGAGATAATGCTTTTCACATCAGGTTTTATAAGCCTATTACTTTCCTTCATTTAACATTGAAACTAAGTAAACACTTTATATTGGAAAATGATAAAGAACCTTCTAATCTAGCTAAAACATTAATCAATTTCTTTTAACCTGACTGCCAAACTAAAAAAGAAAAAATGATTTCTCTGCACGGTAAGATTTTGAACCACATCCAGCATGTTCATGCACAGTACACATCACCCATAGCTGCCTGTGCAAAGAGGACAGTAGTACCTAGACACTTCATCACTCAGAAGGAAGGCTTGTGAAGTTTCCATAACAGAATATGAGTGCTGAGAGTGTGGGTTTCAACTCTGGTTGGTGGAAAAAGCCTCAAGGCACTAGCATTGTTGACTTGCAGTGTATCTCACTAACTCTGTAGATTTACTGTAAATGACTGGTTTTGAGGTTCATTCACAGAATAGGAGTTGATGGGATTAAGATATTTCACAATTTATGATAAAATTGCAAATCTAATTAGCTCCTTATATTTTTGTGCTTTAGTAAGGCTGTTAAAGATACAATTTTTAGTGTTTCAGTATTCTTTTAAAAGTATAATTCATGAGATTTTCATAATGAACGGAAGGTTTCTCCAATTTGAAATATCAGTATTCTGCTTAATAAGAGCTACCTTCCACACTTCCTTGTTTGTTCAGAACAGAAAGGAAGACACCAACTGTTGCAGGAAAACACTGCTCAGTTCATGCAGCTTAAATCAAATCATGCTCAAAGTGGTTTATTGATTCATCAACAACACGCAATTAGCCAGCCACCAGTGAACTACATATTCAGGCTCTGCATCAGCAATACAGCAGACAAATGAAAATACAAGGTACTTGCAAGCTATTAAAAACATTACAAATTTCTAAGCAGCCTTGAAAACCAACACCAAAATCTTCTAGGCACCCCCTGCTTGGCTCCATCATTGGCAGAATGGGAAACCAGCATTCCCACCCTATGGATCACGTGCCTTCTTCTTGAAGTGGGGAGTGCTCCTGCTCTCTGTTCCCTACCAAAGCTCCCTCCACAGACACACCTGTGCCTGTATCCCTGCATGCTGTCTCTGCTGCATCACCTCCCTGCCAGTGTTCCACTGGGACACTGCTCCGCCTGGCTGTGCAGGCTGGCTTTGAGGGTGCTGCTCCAGTTTGTGCTCCAAGGTCTTTTTCCACAGTTACAAATTTTCATACTTTGTGCTTCTTTTGAAACTGACTTCTTTTTGGTTTCAAAAGCCTCCTTGATGTTCCCCAGTTATGTTTTAATCCAACTGACAGTTCTTTAGCTTGATCAATATTGAAGAAATGACATTTCAGACACTGCGATCCATTTAAATACTCTGTTCTCACTGGTGTTTCTGCCCCAGCAGCTGGTCTTATCTGAGTTGTAGAAATTAGATTTGGGCTGTGCAAGTGCTTCCATGGTCAATTAATGTATAGAATTGAGACAAAATACTCGTATGTGTAGGACAAGGAAAAACTATCACCGTTGGAGCAACATGGCAGAATCGATTTATCTGTTTTAGTGAGCATTAACTGAGAGGCCATCAAGTATGAAAACAGTGATGTGCAAATTAAAAAAGATTATTACCTAAAAAAAAAAAAAAAAAGGTTGGGATCAAGAAATCTCCTAAAATAACAACTGATCAAAACAAATGTGATTTGACAGAGTCACTTATCATCTACTTGAAGTGATTATAGTTTCTATTGGTTATAATGAAAGGAAAATGGAAGATTTACTATATTATTTGCAGGGAAATTATCTTGAGGTTGTGAAGTGGAAACAAAGCTTTGTCATTGCATAAACAGTGAGTAGCCACTCTTGTCTGTCTTTGTTTCTTTTCATTCCTGGTACTTAATATTTTCTAACAATTGTTCTGATAAAAATTTGCGGGGATTTTTTTTAAGCAAATTATGATTTTTGTGTGGGACTTCTTTTATTTTTTAAGGGAAATAACTTGTTATTGAAGTACAAGACAATAAGGAAAGATCAGTAGTACAGTTTATGTTTAAGGATTACAGATTTTAAGGAAAGAATACAGTTTTTCATTTTTCATTATACTGCCAAGCCACAGTTTTTGACAAAACATTGGCATTAGAAAAGCTTAATTTGTGGATTTTTTACACTGGTGTCTATCTTAATGACATCAAAAATTGGTGGAACTGGAAAGAACGAAATTTCCCATAAAATATTTGAAGTATACCTATGTCAGTGTTACCTGTTGATCAAAGAAGTGCCAGACCCAAGACCTTATTCTCCTTTATTCAATGCAATGACCATTGCCCACTGCCCACATGATGTCCAGTTTTATTGGCCATATGTAAAAATCCCATATCCATGGTGTTTACTTTGTTTTGCTTTTACTTGTGGTGGCCTAGTGCTGTTAATGGTATAGTTGTTTCTAAGGAATAAAATGAGAAGCAGCACTACAAATTAATAAAAATTGCAGGTCCTCTTAACTACTTTATAGTTATACTTCCAGAAACATGGTTTTATGTGATTTGATATGGTGATTTGATAACTGCTTCAATGTGTTAAAAAGCAAGGAAATTTGAGAGAAAGGGAAAAAGATTTTCTAAATGTCTCTTCACCACTTCACTGAAACTTGAAAAATTAGGTATAAATAAAATAAGTTATTCAAAGAATTACATAATAGTAGAGTATGCTTTTCTTAACTCACAACTGCCCTTTTTTGTTTTTTTCTGGGGCAGGTGGGGGGAGACAAAAACTACTTTTCTATTTTTAAAGAATTAATTACTGTTTCTTATCTAAAAAGGATTATTGATTCAAATAAGATTATACATTCCAATTGTGTAATTAAGTCAGAAAAACAGCCAAGTGTTTGAAATTTTGTTTTATCTTTAAGGGAACTATTTCATCATTCCAGAAAGGAAGAAAAATATTAGTTTGTTTTTGATGTAACTTTACTTTAAGTATACAAGTATATTATCCAGATTTTGAGATCAAAAATAATTTGCTTTGGGTAGAAAGCTCGTTTGAATCTCCTTTGCTCTCATTGCTTTCAGTCCTCAATACTTTTGTGTTTGCATTTTAAACCACATCAATCCAATTATTTCTTGCTAGATGTGGTGAGCTGTTTTTGGGTAGAGGGTAAACTCCCACCCAGTAAACTCCCACTCCCACCCACTCACTTCCCCCATTTGTAGGTGACTGTGAGTGACACAGGGCAGACCCTGACATCCCTCCACAGAGAACATACCTGCAGCATCCATGCTGCCAAAACTTAAAAGTTATGAGCAAATTCTGTGCCTGATTCTGCACAATGGCTTTAAAATACAGGAAGAATAATCAAATACTGTGGATGAACATGTTGAGTAGTACTTTTACAATAAATCAATGGAAATGCACAAGAAAGATTACTGCCAGACACACTATTCCAAACTGCACACTGTGAATTTTGTTTGTAGATTTTAGGTATTTTTACACAGGGCAATGGCTGAAAAGAATTTCACAACAGCAGAAACTTCAGACAAGGGTAATATATTATTGCACCTTATTCCAAGAAAATTAATAAAATTCTACAGCATCCTTTATCTCTGAAATTCAGGAGTCAATAATTATCCTATTTATCAGTGACACCGACAAGTAAATCTCAGTC